GTCGTTCGGTGGGAGTCTATCTACGTATCATATGGGTTGGGGTCCGTCGAGACTCTGAAAGAGGGGGGGGTTAAAATTTTGAAAAAAGTGCGATCGACGTATCACCGCCAGCATGCATGCGCATCGAATGACAAGCAGATATCAGAATGACAGCAAATTTAGAAGCAGTGACCATGTACAGCCCTACATCAACCCCGGCATGGTGCACTTGTTGACTTTCTCTGATTGAACTCTACGCGAGTTTGCTATAGATTTATTGACGGCCAGCTTTTCGGCGGGTTGCTTTCTACAGAAAAGGCTTCGAAGCGATTTATGACTACCCGACCAAACGTCTCAACTACCCTACTGAAATTCGAGACAAAAGGGTCATCACGTAATACCAAGGTGGGCCACTTACCGTAACTTCAGTCCGGTACTCGAGACCACTCAGAAACCAGCAGTGGGACAGTCAGCAATCCGGGTTAATCGTGATTCAGAATCTCAGAAAATTTCCAAATAGTATTTGGGGTCTGTTTTTTGGACTCTATGAAACTCTTCCAGAATAAGTTTCTGGTGCCTCTTTGTGCATTCCAACATTTATGGTTAGGTTCTGGTTAGGTTCTGGAACAGCACAATAGAGACAAGTGATGTGTTGTATTTGTGGCGCCCTTCTTTCGAAACAGAGACGTTGTACAAAATTTTGATTCTCTGAGCATGCGTTTGAGAGCAACGCTGCAAAGCATTTGGAGAGCTGTTCGTGTTGCTCCTCGTAGACTAACGGTGGTAACACTATTCTTTCATACAAATCCCATTAACTTCAATAACGTTGCTATTTTAGAAGCAGCTAGTTTTTGCGTTGTTTTTCCTTTGTTTATTGTGACTAATGTTGTTATTACCCTATGTTGTGCGAATAAAGTTGGCATTGATCTTTCAGTGCTGATCAGAGATTGCCATTTCTATCTCAAAGAGAGCTTAAAGGAATCTTCCACGGAAAAAGCTCCGCCTCCATTACCACAGAAAAACGATACCTTAGGCCCCTAGCCTCATGAGCATAGCAAAAAGAACGGAACATAAGCGTTAGTTTCGATAATACTAATCCTACACACAAGACAAAATGATCACTCTTTCCGTGGAAGATTCCTTTAAGGTATCGTTTTCTGTGGTAATGGAGGCGGAGCTTGTTTCCGTGGAAGATTCCTTTAAGCTCTCTTTGAGATAGAAATGGCAATCTCTGATCAGCACTGAAAGATCAATGCCAACTTTATTCGCACAACATAGGGTAATAACAACATTAGTCACAATAAGCAAAGGAGAAAC